GCTATGGCGGAATTCTAGAGTGCGCCTCAGTGTGAATATTTGATCTGCACATTCACGCCCAGCTCGGAATCCGGCTTGGTTGGGTCACCAACAAACTTTCAAGGCCGACCCAGCCAATGAACGCTCTCCCTTGGTCTACTGGCCTGACTGCTGTCAAACAAGCACCCGGACTCGACTGGCTTTCCTGGCCGGTTGTATGCTCCCCAAGTCACACCTATTTCCATCTATTCTTCGTTCCCCTGTGTACACAATATACTGTTCCTACTACTGGCCTCCACTGACTTCTTCTCTACTAAGTAACCATGGTCTGAAGATTGCAGTTGCTAGGGCTTACTTAACCCCCTGCGATACGTCTATACTACGAGACAGGCCGTGATGCAGATCAAATACAGCCTAAAAGGAGCAGACGCCTCACCCCTGACGATGGAAACGAGGAAATTTCTGAAACCTTCGATCAAGTATAATTGGTTTCGTGAAATCACATCTTCTTCCTCCTCCTATTTGGGAGATGATTAACGGGAAATACAACTGTTCCTTGTGACGCGTCTTCGGCTTTCGCATACCTTACATGTCTTCGTCGGCACATATGTGCAACTATCGATATTGGCTAACTTTATAAGCGAAACTAACGCGGTATTGTCGGACAGCCGGAAATGTATATTGCTAGTAAATAAAATAGCGTGAAAGTACCTATTTTAGTCTCAGGAGGTCCAGACGCTATGGTCGGAATGTTAGCGAAAAGGAGATATTTGGAAAGTTTTTCTTACCAAGAATCAGGGATGAAGCAGCTGATACTCAAGAAAATACTACAAACTAGCGGAAGAAGAGAACTAAATTTTAAGAGAATTGAAATCATGGGAGGTGCTAATTTCGCAGGATGTTGAATCGAACATATCGTTTTTTTAACAAAAGATGGCCCAAATTTTTTCCGAGTTTCTACGTGCGCATATGGGAGCGTAGGACCCAAAATATTCGCATAGTGCGGTCAACTTATGCAGAATAGAAGACTGACCTGATGCGCCCTGATCTCGTCCGCGTTCATCTATGCACTGGTAACCGTCAAGCGTGCGGATATCATAAAGATGCTCCTGAGCAGTTTTGACGACATCCTCCGAGCCGTTGCGCAAAAGAAAGGCCAGGAGTGTCAGACCCTGAAAATTGCAAGGGAAAATAACTGTTATTAAAAAAGACCACAACATGTTGGCATGCGTAAAGAACTGAGCAGGAAGCGGAACATTTATTTGATTATTATTCACATTTTTTCGGTTTAAATAGTCTACTGATAATAACTACGAAATAAAGTAAGAGGTGTGAAGAAGAAAGAAGCAAACCTTAATATAAAACTACAAAGGTTTTGAGATAGATTTCGAAGGCACAATAACTTCTACTAGACTCAGCCGGAGAATCGGGCTTACAAAGCGAGAGAGCTCATAAGGACCATGAATAATTAAATACAGCATCCATCTTCAGAGTAAAAAGCGGATTTTAGTCTATTTGACATATGTAGCTTCTTATTTAAGGTACCGAGGGTACGTTTGGGAAATCAAATCGCATTTTTAGCAGTTGGCACCGACGCTGGCGTAGTCAGCTGCATTGTCCGCAGCAGCGAGGATCAGCACAATCTTGATTTTCTGCGACCAATGGTTAAAGGCTCTACGATTTTTATTCACTTATTGTTCTATTCTCGGACGCTGGATACTGTCAAAATTAGCCATGAAAATCCTTTCTAAATTGTTCACAGAGTTGCTGCGGTAACTTGGATTGGGGTGGAGGGAGGGGGGAGTGAACGAACCCCTGAGACAGAAAACCTTTGTTGCAACGCTACCAACAGATGTCACAAAACAGAAGTGGAGTTAGA